CCCTATTTTCTTTAGTCCTTAGTAGGACTTATGAGAATATGAGCTTTTCGAATATAATAATGTCATATTTCTAATTGGCATTAATGAGAAATTGGTAGACAAATAAAGATGTTTTTCCACATTTTCTTACAAAGTTTTCCATTTTTAGGTCTCTTACGACACTTATGCCAAAAAAATTTTGTGATAAAATCGATACTTCTCTTCAACTTACGAACATGGCATAAGTGAGAAATACGTCGCTGTACACACTATTTTTTTGAAAAGGAAAATTGAATTTTCACAAAGGTGTCCCGCAGTCCATCTTTTAAATTTAGTTTATTGTACTTATCTCTCGGTTACTTGTCGGTACTCTCAGAGGCATAAACGAGAAAGACGTCGTCGAACTTCAGTCTAATATCTCCCGGTCTATAACTGAAACTCCAGCGGGACCAGTAGTACTACTTAGGTAAATTTCTTTAGGTTTTTCAAAATCTGAATTGTAAAAGAGACAACATTAATATTAACCGTAACTCTAGCGAATCATTGAATGCCATTTGAAAATATATTGGAAATACAAGTAGTTTCTTTATTTTTATTCGAAATTCTCAGAATTGGGTTTAAGTTAATTTGACAAAGAACTCATAAAGGCATTCTTGGAAGACTTTTCTCAAACAAGGAGTTCAGAATTAAATAAAATTTACATCGCTGCAGGAAAATTCATATCACTACAGGAGTTTATCATAAATTGGAAACAAAGTGATGCATGTACAGGTTAGTCACTATAATCTGACAACTTATGAATTTACTATTGAAATTACAAAAAAAATTTTATACAAAGTTTGAACTTTTTATGAATTTTTATAATACAGTATTAGAAAAAACAATTGAATAATGGAAATTAGTAAATTAAAGAAAAAAATTTCTTTTAAATGGAACACCCTATATACATATAAGTGCATATTTCGCTTGGTTGAGTTTTTCTATTTTCAAAAATATATAATATGTTACTATTTGATTCAGGACTTCTCGACATATTTCAGATTAAAACTATTTTTGAAAAAAACTATAACAAACTATTTTAAAGAAATAATGTTTAGTGAGAATGAAAAATTTGAAGTATATCCGTTTATTTTATGATAATAATAAAAATTATTCTTAACTTTAACAGAATTTTAATACCTAATTAATAAAAACCAACTAGAACACAAATAGTCACAGATGCTCAATGTGGCCGTCATTATTATTGATGCACTTCGTATAAACCTCATTAATTTTTAGAACTGCATTTAGTATGAAATGGGAATTAAATTCACTTAAATTTTGTATACATTGATCAACTTTATGTCTCATTTAAGTTTACACTAGCTTCCTTATAAACTTCGTTTTTTAAGTAACCCCACAGAAAACTGTGCAAGGGTGTAAGGTCTGGGCTAGTTGAAGGCCATTCCATTACCAATGCACAAATCAAACCTATTATTTAAATAATTTCGTACTGCTCTGGTTCTTCCAATTTGTTTTCTATTTGATTTTCAAGAAAATGCAGGTATCTTTTGCCAGTCAAAGCACCTTCATAAAATAGTAGGCTAATTATTTTATTTCTCAAAATAATGCACCAAACATTAAACGATGTGTGTCCTTGACTTGGAATTTCCCTATTACAGTGTGGATTTTCATTTGCCCAGGTATTAGTATTTTTATAAATGCCAGGTGTTGTAAAAGTCGCCTCATCAGTCCATTAAATCTTTTCAAAATAATTTAAGTCGCCATTTTTCAAGTGCAGCATTTCTCTACAGTAATCGCTGAATTTTTTGATTTTGGAAAAAGCTAAAACTTTTGTATTAAAAACTTTTGTGTAATTTCAATATTAAACTCACAATAATTTGTCAGATTATAATGACTAACCCTGTACAAATGCAGTAAAGTATCAATAGATCGACAGGCTTCTATAAGTATTACACAAAGTTATAGTATTATTATTTAATTTAATTATTAATTACTACTAACTTTATTATTCCTATTGCAAACCTAGATATTGGTATCCAACAACATATATGACTTCATTTGATAGAAATTTATTAAAAAAAATGGAATTAATTTGAACTGGTTCAATACCATTAAAATAAAGGCACTACATAAACTCAAATTTAAGTCTTATTGAGATTACTTACATTGTGATAAAATTGGCATCATTGGAATATACATGAAGAAGATAAGGCAGGTGAAATAAAATCCGAAATTGAATATTGTTTTAGAACCATCCTGACCCATTCCTATGTACAAGTTACCTATAAGAATTCCTATCGCTATGTACAGAATTACCCTGAGAAGTAAATAACACTGAAACAACAGAAACAAATGTTAAGCAATGCAAAAGTGCAGATGATTTTGAAAATGCTACAGATGTTGCATTTTCGTAATGATAACCTAACTACTTAATTGAGTTCAACATAATTTTTAATTCTATTTGAAAATTATTAATTGAAAGTAAGGTAAAAAATTGGAATAAAGTTTATAGTGAAACAGCACACAATAATGTTGTTAAAATTACCTTATCTCTCCACATCTGTAACCACATCCTCATAATTAAAATGTAAAATTGCCTTAACCACCCAGATTCGTGGTTAAAATTTTGTTCGGACAAGAGCGGGTCCTCTTTAATTGACGATATGCTATTATCCAAGGAAACTTCTTCCATACTAGCTAGTCTACATAAATTATTACAGTTAATACGGCCGTTGTCTACAGCAGCAACCATGCGGTCGTGGTAGTCTCCATACTCCATGCAACAGACTTCTATAACTACGAATAGGATTTTTATTATTATATAATAATAATAATTATATTAATTACGAAAAGTTCACATATTTAATGCTTTTAAACTTCTTTACGTTAGTTACCAATGCTGAAAAAAATAATTAATCAAACATTCAGACAACGTCTCGAAAGTAAATTTAACATCTATATGACCTACAACGTCGAATCGTGACACAAACAAAACTATAACCATTAGTTTCATAGTCAGAATTTACAAAAAGAAGGTGTTATGAATAATTATTTATTTACAGCATTATGCAACAGTTTTTTATGCAATTGGCTTTTTGAAAGTCGCATTAATTTTCGTCACTTACTTTGAATATTGATATCAAAGATTACATACTTTTTTAAACATAAACTAGCGATGTGTTTTTTGCGCAATTGAATAAATTTGTCTGGTTTCTTAGTTCAAGAGGTCTCACCAAAAATAAGTTTTATTTATTTATTTATCACATTTGGAATGCAAACAGGCTTGCTGCCCAAAACTGCATCCACTAATACAATTGTGAACATAGTGTAAACAAAACAAAAAAAAAAAAGTTAACAAATATAGTGTAGCAAAAAAACAGTTAATAAAGTGATCAGTATAACTACATTTCAAATTCTTTTTAATGGAGAATATAGAATGAAGTAGAAACCTCCTTTAAAATATAGTCAAACATTTCATTCGGGGTGAATCTCATAAATCCGGGGGTGATGGTTATGCGAGAGAAACAGTCAGTGAAAATATGTATGTTAAAAATGGCGCAGTAACTCATTCATACTACTCCAATAGCCAAGAAATTATATATAATCAAATCATGAAGAAAAAAGAAGTAGAAGTTTCAAGAATATTCGTTCAATCTTTATTGATTAAGTTTCTGTGTTCGTACTGACAATTGCTTAGAGCTTTCCTAATTCAAACTTTATACAGACTGTACATTGGATCTATACAAAATACTACAATGTAGAAAGATATCAGTCAGGACACTTCGAAAATAATAAAAATATTTATCTAAACACCACTCGAACTTGGTCGACTGTAATATCCGACTTAATGCAATGTCAATCAGCATATGCAAAAAGTGAAGAATTTAACGGAATAATAAATGTTTTATCACAGTTATTTTAGCAAATTCAATTATTGCTTTCATTATTGTCATTAATTCCTATCTTATTAGATGATATCAGTGAATGTCGCTTAGTATTTTGGTCAAGAAACTTTAGTATTTACAACAATTGTTCATAATTTTGTACACCGACCCTAAACACATTTGGGCACTCTGATCCAGTTTTGACAAGCCGAGAAAAATCTTCCTTCTAATCCACCGTACTTTTTGAACTCCACACAATCGTTATCGAACAACTAGGCTAACAACTTCCAACTAATCCAGGCATCACTTCGAAGAAATTTGAGACATAGAAACCCATCAATTAGACTTGGCAATAAGAAGGGTCCAATTAAGCAATTGTCGAAAATTCCTGCCCAAATATTCAAAGCAAATTTTCAAGTTTCATATGTATGTTGTGAACATTATTTACCCCATCACATTTTCGATTTTCCTTGTTGCACTTACACGGAGATCTTCTTCCTAAATATTGCCTGCCACCTCCATCTCTTCCACTATTCGGTCCCTAATTCCCCCTTTCACTCGCTCATTGAACTACCGCGGTAAAGGTTTCAAATAGAATTAAGCATATGTCAACTAGGAAAACGTTTTGCATACAAGCGAGAAGCTGTGAATAGATTTTGTTTTGTTTCGCCGTCAATTAAAACAATATCCTGCATATGCTGCATCGCTATACACATAGATCATTTTGAATAGTTGTAAGACTGATATAAACAATAAACCACGATAGTAAGAGCACTATGAAGACCACAGTAATACTGAATAAACAAGCATTTGAAAACGTGCAGTAAATTAAGGTACATTATAACAAATACATTAAAGTCGTCTAGCTACGTAGTCAAAGGCAAACAAGATATCTGATGTTTATATAGAAAAGAGAGAATAACGATATCTGTATAGTTTATTAGTGAGACACATATAGAATATAGATGACACTAATTGTAAGACAACATGAATAACTGCTATAAATATTATAATATTACAAAATATATTTTACTTAAAAATATGTTTATAGGTATGCATGAAAACTATACAGTATTCTACAAGATGTATTACTCCTGAGAAAAAATTAAAAAGATTAAAGAATAAGAGAAGAACCATTTTAATATTCCTTCTGGTCAAATTCCTGGGCATTCAAGGTGAGACTGACAATCAAATATTTAAAAAAATATATGACTGTTTACACTATGTGTATGTTATTAGAATTTAATTTTTGTAGTTTCAATCATAAAGATGTTCAGTTATGACTATGAGCATCTGACAAATCTATGACATCACCTCCGGACTTACTCTATATCTTGAATGATTTAATAATGACAACAGTTATCAATTCTGATATACTTACTAAAGTCTGCAGGATTGTAATGTTTAGGACATTCCACTCCCAAATTAGACAAGAATGGTACTACTTCTGGACCATAACCTTGATACACACATTGCCCGGCTGCAATAATGTAAACATTATCAAACACGGAAAATAACTTAGCGCTGGGCGTGTGTATGGAACATATAACAGTCCTTCCTCCATCGGCAATCTGTTTCAACAAGGATATGCACTGTGAACAAGACAAGTCATCCAAGCCACTAAAAGAAAAATATAACTTTAAATAATAGTTTAAAAACTCAATGTACCCGTATATTAAATTTTAATACTACGTTATAATAAATTTCAAATTGTTTTAAATTGATTATTACTTTTTAATATAATAAGCAAAGTATAATTTTATTTGTTATCCCATTCTAGACCTAAACCCGTGTCAGTAAAATGTAATAATGAATGGAAAAGATAAATGTATCTACAAAGATAACAGCAAGATATGTTCCTGGACAATAATAAGTATAAAGTATTGGTTAAAAACAACAAATATTTAAGTCATCTTACACTCAAGCTTAAACTTTTACATTTATCAATTTGTTATGCAATAAGTGGACAATAAATTGTCTAATGTAAGTTATACTGGTACATGTAATAGCTTCAATAAATTGACCAAAAAATTGGAGACAATAGAAGTGGTTCTAATAGTCAATTTTCCTTACATTCTGCAATTTTGACATTCTTATTTTGTTTGTTATTGCAATCGCAGTTGTGTAAATCTGGTTATTATAAGTTTATTATGGTTTTATACATATTCTGTTATTAGCTGTTGTATTTTTACTTTATTTTTAAGGTATTAAGCTAATTAAAAAAAATCGGACATTTTTCTCTATCAAAGCAAACAAAGTCCTTCGACACCAGAAATTTAGGTATGCAAAAAAATCTAACCCCACTGATATATCTGATATCGAAGAACATTATTCGACTTCATTTGATAAAATCTTTTACAAACAAAATTGTGAATTTGTTTGAAAAATTTTTGGAATAATTTATTACTTTTATTTAAAAAAAATGGTATATATAAAACAGGTTTGTATAGATTTAATATATATTATCACACTGACATAGTAGATGATTCTAAGGAAAACTAAGTTTACAAAATCAACCCCTTCATTGGGGTTAATTATTTAATTTTTTTTCTTCTCAGTGTGGCAGAAATATATAAAAAGATTAACTAAAAATACAAAAAATAATTGAGATAGTACTTATTTTCGGATAGACCGGAAGTTTCTTCGAAGAATTTACGGTATTTTTTAATTGATATTTCGACTATACATTTTTATATTAATGTGCAATTATTTCCTGCTAAAGAGGAAGTAAGTCAAATGTAATAAAAATTAGCACTATGTTTTTTACTTAACTATGTTATTATCTACATTGAAATTCGTTATACAGGGTGTATCTTAAGTGATGACTTTAATTTCAAGGGGTGATTCCTTGTCATATTTTAAGCAAAAAAGTGCATATGAACATCGGTCCGCAANTGTTGTATCACTACAATTATGAGTGGAAAGGTGACATTTTTGAAATATATTTGCTTCTTTGATTCGTTGGTAGAACTGATTCATTCATCAAAAAACTTGACAAAGTCTGTAGCAGTGTAAAACCACACTGTTTACCAATAAATTCGTGAATTAATTCATGAAGAACTTCGTCAATTTATTCATCAATAAATTGTCAATGTAAAACAGCTATAAGAGAGTCTGCCAAACGCTTTTGAAAATTTGAAAAATCGATATAGATGACATGACCTGACCTGCCTGATTCACTAATATATTGTGTGATGCATACTAAGTTACTTGTAGTAGACATTTCTGAAATAGATCCACGCTAATCGTTGACAAAGAAAGTTTTACATGATTATTCAAAACAACGACCTCAGAAAGGATAGACAGTGCATTGTCTTGGTTTGTTTTGTTCTACTGTAAATATTTTGAGAACTCAGCCTCCTATTGCCTAAAGACATGTGATAAGGTGCGCGCGCAGTACCTGCTCTATGCTAGATGTTTATTATTGTTTACGACTGTCGGCCGCCATTAATTCTTTGCGTGCTTACTGAGTTTAACGTTGTGTTTACCGTGGATTATTAGTTTCTTTGGCAGAATTTATTGTTTTTGTGAATAGACAATGGGAAAATATTGTGTTATATGTAGATTTCGCTTTAAAAGTGGAGGCAATCGCTCTTTTCACAGGTAGGTAGATTTACCATGGGCGTAACAGATAACAGACGGTAGTTTAAAACAAAATTTGAAATAGAAAATTTTCAGTGCAATAATATTGAAAATATAAAATATTTTTTTAAAACGTGAATTGTGTGTTACGGTTAAATAAAAAGTAACATGAATTGCAAAGGCAACATTATTTAAAAGGAAATATACCTAGGTAATTTGATTTTAGGATTCCTTCGAATGTTGAACGCCGAGACGTTTGGCTCTCTCGCATTTTGAGCTGTATAGGAAAGGAAAATAGTCCTAAAGATAGTGTTGTATGTTCAGATCACTTCACATCAAGTGATTTCTTAATAAGACCTGGTGGCCGAGTTTATCTTAAGGACACAGCAGTTCCTGAGTTCCCAAGTTCGTTTAGTCAAAATACAGGACCCCTATTAAAATTGTATAAACAATTTTTTGCACATAATTCGGGATCACTTTGTATCAATTGCCACCATAACAAATTAGATCCAATAAATCTGTTTTAAGAAATTAAAGAACTTAAAAATATGTGTAATAACCCCATTTACTATTTCTCTTTCATTTATCACTTAATTGTCCTACTTGATATGCATATTATTGTATACAAGTATAGTATAGCTACCATACTATATGTAACTGTAACTTTGTGATTCCTATTTGAACTGGTAAAAACTTTTATTAATTAGTATTATTTAACATATTGATGTATATTGTTACTGAGAAAATAAAGATTGTTGTAACTAGTATTACTTTTTTTTCGGCAGTAAGTGCCGTTATGGAGTAAAACGAACATGGTTCTATTCATTTAAAAAGGAAGTCATTAATATTATTTTAAAATCAAATTAGGTGTGAAATCGGTAAGTATATATAAATTAGACAAATATTAAAATGTATCACCCTTTTTAACACACACGCCACTGGTTAAGAGTTCCCTAGTAAACAAAGAACTATCTTCATCCTTGTTTAATAGCAGGATGTCTCAAGTTGTGGAAAATCAAAACAATTCCTTTGCAATGCATAGGGAATTACTTGTCTAGTCATTCTGAGGTCTTTGATTCAAAATGTCTATTGAAATAATTTAGCAAAATTAGTTATTATTGATATCAAACCAAACAATAGTTTTCAACAAAATTTTACCACCCTTTTTAAAAATAAGAACTTTATTAGAAACTTTTAGTTAGCTATTTATAGTGATAAATGAGATATTACATCAAAATTGCGCGAATTGGACAGCCCTTTAATAATAGACCGGGAGATATTAGACTGAAGTTCGACGACGTCTTTCTCGTTTATGCCTCTGAGAGTACTGAAAGGTAACCGAGAGACAAGTACAATAAACAAAATTTAAAAGATGGGCTGCGGGACACCTTCGTGAAGGTCCAATGTGGACTTATGCCTACATTTATATGACTTTATAATGTAGTTTCCTACATGCATGCAAAATGGCATAAGCGAGAAAGACGTAAAAATTTTCATGAATTTTCCTACAACTTTTCAAAAAATTTTTAGCATATAGTCCTCACCAGGGACTTATGCCCTTTAAAAAAAATGAATANGTCGATGAGCAGAAGATTACATGCTTGTATTGACAGTGGCGGTTCTCATTTTGAGCATTTGATTTAATTCAATTTTTATGATATTTCCAGCTCAAGTAAGTTTAAATGCGTTTTTCATGGAAACGGTTGCTCCTAGCTACTTCATTATTGGCGCCCTCAAAAAAATACACCTAAATTGACAACAGCTTTGAATTTGTCATTCCAAAAAACCCCCGTGTATGAAATTTCATTAAATTATTTCGAATCAGTCGAAAGATATTTAAGAAAATGCGATTTATTTTCCCAACTTTGACACCCTGTATCTCGGTAACGAAGCACTTGCGGACCGATGTTCATATGCACTTTTTTGCTTAAAATATGACAAGAAATAACACCTTGAAATTAAAGTCATCACTTAAGATACACCCTGTATATGAAAAATATGAATTTAAACTACTTAATAGATAGGTACCCTTCACAAAAAAATATAGAAATTAGTTATGAAATGACTTTAATGAAGTCATTTCAACAGTGCTTGTAATTGTTCTTTCTACACACAAATGAAACAAACAGGAAATCATTTGGAAGTGTATGATTATTATGAGTGCCTAGTGAATAATGAATAAATACATCACTTAAACTTAAAATTAAACATTAAATTCCTAAAATAGAGTTTTTAAAATAATGACAAAATGTTCAGTTAATATGTATCTGAATATTATCTGTAAAAGTTAATCAAAACTAACGAAAGCTCAGATTTCATAAGTTCACATTACAGCAAACATAATGTTAACTAAACTTGTCCGTAATGGCCAACGGCCCATTAAAGTGGCATTGTCAATTGTAAACATTTGCTGAATAATTCTGCAGACTCGCAGATTTGATTTAATTTCACTGCATGAATATATGTATAGTGTATGTCATGCAATATTAATCAACCGCGTCGAAATGAGGCATAATGCTTTTTTGATGTAGATCATTATTACAAGACAGGTTCGATATCCACAATTAAACTTGCTTATGTAACAAACAATTTGGATTCAACGCCTGTAATTTTTTTAGACAGACAAACAATACGTGGATCAAGTATGATTGTAAATTTTATGAATGTGTTCTCCAAAAAAAATCAAATCCATAGCATTACTAGTATAATTTGATTATTGCATTAACTCTTGTTGTTCAGTTTTTTCTTCTTTTAAGTATTTTCTCACAATGTATTACAAAACATAGTGAATATGGTGAGAACTTAGCCCTAAAAAAATTAAGACATGCGTTGTGAAGTTACTAACCAAAAATTTCAAATCTAGCGCCAAATGTAGTAATTTTTACAAATGTTAGTATGACACTGGCAATATGCGTGCATCAGCATCATTGCCTTCACATTTTTATAAGCAATTATTTCAATGTTGCCAGATTCATCCACTGTACTGACAAACAAAAACGAGAATTATAGCTAGAATATATTATAAAAAAAATGATATG